AATACATTTTTTAAAATTTTAATAAATAGGGAAAAGAACCCACTCATAATCAGATAGTGTCGCTCCTAACGCTCGGCGGCGCTGGCCCTAGCGGCTGCGGCGCGCGCGGTAAGGAGAGGAAAGGAGGCGTATACCACGGAAATCGGCTGAAATGTTCAGACTAATTCCGAGCACTGCTCTATATTGTCATAAAAATTATTTCAATTTCAATAAAATTACCGGTTATAACTGGCTATAATAAACTAAAAGTGAAAAAAATATTTGTTATTAAACAGTCGATTATATAGACGGTCATTTTATTTAAATAATCCGTATAAAATTATTCGTAAGTTTACGAATGTAGATTTTGTAGCAGAAATGTCAACTTTTAGTTTCAATTATGTTTTTCATACTTTATGGCAACATTAGTATTTTCTTTCTCGAAAAAATGACTTTGCTTTTTGTGAATATTATATTTAGGATTTTTCATTAAAATATAAATAAAAAATAAATGATATCATATGACAAAGAATAGTATGCGAGAATTATGGTCACTTCTTTTTGCAACAACGTATATATAAATACTATGAAACAGTATTCATTTTACTTTTTAATCTTGATGACATTTACATTTTACATTTTATGGACAATGTTTGATTCTAATGATTTATCTTAGTTTTACCTTTGAGGTAACGGGTAAAGTAAAGTGATGTATCAATTTCAGAATTGCTGACATTCGAATAAAAAGGTTTCATAAAAGAATCAGTGTCGATATGGAGAGATTCATGTATATCTTGAACTACCAACAAATTTGACATTTGAAGTTCTGGAAAAGTCTAAAAAGTTTTAATAAACATTGATTAATAAAAAATTAATATTTCCTTAAACAAATGCATTGTCGCCGTCGCTAAGTAGAAGAACTCTTTAAAATATCTTTGTTGTTTTGAATAAAATAAAATAATTGAATAAAATAGAAATAAAATAATGTATTATTATTGCAAAAATTAAAAGTGATATAAAAATTACTTATTCTTTTATAATATGGAATGGCTTATATTGATTCAAATTTAAATTTTAAAATTATAATACTACCTTATTAACGGCATCCATTCCAAAAAATATAGCTATCCCATCGTCCAACCACAGGTTTGACCAGTTAGAGAGGCTGATTGTACTACTTAACCATTGGCGCACCACTTTTTGTGCTACAAATTTTGCCACCGCTATTTTTCGCCCATAAGTATCTATTTCTTGATTATAGATAGCTTTTTCTTCCCTAAAAATTATTTGTAGATTATTGCAATTTTATTATATTAGTTTTATAAATATCAAAATTAATAATATTTTTGTGGACTAATGGTAAGATAAAGATGTGTAACTAAAATGTTTTAATTCTAATTATTAAAAACAATAAAAACAATAAAATAAAGAAAATTTTTGTGTCCAATATACCTAAGAAAAACAAGTCTCCAACCGTCCGCGCTGTCATATTGAAAACCAGGTATTAATGCATAATTTATAACTGGTTTCCATAAAGAATCTATTTCTGTCCATTCATTTTTTAAAAGCAATGTGACATTTTTAATAATCTTTTTTGCATAATGTATATCTATTTCCGTGTTTCTACTGTGTATTCTATATTTTAGTGTTGACTGTAATTTCTTAGTGTTGTTAAAATTATGTATTAAAATTGCCACTTGATAAGCAAATATTTTAGTTGTGATTGTAAAACGTTTCATTTGCAGGCCATCTGAATAATTAAAGTAACCACGTGTCGTTCCGTTATTTGTCAAAATGTTATACTTATTATGAACTTTTACAGAGATATTGAAGGTTGTTCTAGATCCTGCCAGTTCGAAACAGGGAAACATTCGATGGGCCCCATTTGGCTGGGAATTTGTTGCGACCAACCATCTATAATAAAATAAAATACTTAAATAAATTTTAATAAAATACTTTAGATAATGATAAATTTACTGTCATTGTTCTAAAATAAAATTACAAAAATTGCAGAAGAAAAACAGGGTAGAGAAGTGAAGGGGAATAATAATGAGAGAAAAGAGCAGGCAATTTATAAACAAAATTATTTTTAGAAACAAAATGACAAAAGAATGAAAATTGTTTACAATTATCATGCTTTTGTATTATTATCACTTTTATTTTATCTTATGAATAGTAGTACTTTTGTTGTATACATATTCTATATGTCACACATAAAATAATGTTCATTATATTTGCCGTAAAATATGAAACTTTAAATGGACAGCATTGTTAGCATGTTTTATTTTTAGAAAGAAGACTTATTTAATTGTAACATATCCGTTCAATTTAAATTGCTTTTATAATATTGCGTATGTAAGCTTTTGCCTTCTAGAATCATCGATTTGTTATTTTATTTTATACGCGCTATACTCAAGATCCTGTGTATCTTATTTGTATCGATAAGCGTGTCAACTAATGTTCGAAAGCGTGCCAGCAGCTCAATGGATCACTTGGCTGAACACGTCAATCTCGGAAAAAAAAGTACCGAGAGTCGAGAGAAGAAATTGACGAAATCGGGATTCCGGAACCCGAACTGAAACGACCATTAATATCAGAATAAAGTATTAATTTGAAAAAAGAAGACTTTTCTTATGAGTTGTTTATTGTTCCCCTTGCTTAGCCGCTTACACATAATTGTATGTGTCTAATATTTTTATTTTTACTTACTGTGTATTGTCTTCTGTGTGGAACTTATGCATCTTGTAAGGGATACGGAAGAATCCTTTTTCATTACCATATGCTATATTTTTATATTCCAATGTCATGATGTACATTCCTCGTTGAAGTTTTTTTCTAAAAACCCACTCTTGATACGAAGATAATTCATTTGTATAGCGTTTTATCGTCCAATTAAAAGTTTCCGCAGAGTTGCCTTTCATTACTAAGTTTCTAGCAAATATATCTATTGATGGTGCTACGTTCATTTTGAAGCTTATGATTGGTTTGGTCATAACTTGAAAAGTAATAGAAACGTTGCCAGAGACATTAAAATAATATTCTGATATATTCTCAATGTCTAGGAATGTCAGTTCGATGTCGTAGTGTATTGGAAAGGGATTAGGCACATTTGTGTCATGGAACTGGAAGACTTTCGGCAATAAATCTTGACTGTTAGAGAAAACTGTTTTGATGATCAGTATTAGAGTGCATTTTAATAACGTTTGTAGATTTGCCATTTTGTTTCAAGTATCTATAAAAACATAAATTGCATTTGTTAAAAGTTTAAAGTTCTCTTGCGAAATATTGATACAAAATTTGTTAAAATTGTCAATTTAATTTTATTAAAATAAATAATGTTAACACTATCTCTACTTCTGCCACGCATTTCACACTGAAATAGTATTATAAAGTAACTTCAAATGATATTTTTTTTTTAACAATTAGTTGTTGTTAACACATTATCATAAAGAATTGTTTAAATTAAAAATGTAGCTTTGTAATTGTAACTATTTCTTTCGAAAAATCACCAAAAACTAAAAAGTATATTATTGTTCGTGTATATGTTGTATCACGTAAGTAGTTTGTAAGATTGTCTACATAACAAACTGTACTAGCTATATTCTAATCAAAAATTCTTATAAAAATCAGAAAACTTTTTTTTCTCTTGGTTAGAGTCGGTTACTTAATGTATCGGTTAACTTAATTTTTTAGATTAGCCAAAAATATTTATTATAAAAAATGTATGGAATAAAATATAGATAAGCAGTATTAAACGTTTCACATTTAATATGCAATGCAAATTAAATAGTACAAACTTAAAACAAAAGAATTAGCGATTTTAAACGTCTAAACATAATATTACTTTTACATTATGTCTTTTTATTATTTCGATTAAATTTTATGATTTTTATTATTTTGATTAAAATGTTCTAAAATAATAAATTATAAATATTTATAAATATACAAATTTTACGATAAATTAAATTATATGTTTGAAACTATTTACGTTATGTTGCATACATTGATTCTATGTTCAGAAGGCAGTACACAAATTTTCTGGTTTTTACATGTACAACGAAATTATGTGATTGTTGAAGCACAGTACTTTCTAACAATTGAAATGAAGATCTTATCTTCTCGAGAGATCCCGGAAAACTGAACGACATCAATATTCGACGTTACAATAAGTAATGTCGTGTAAACAACTTCTAAGGTCGTTAACGTCTATATTATTGGTCAACAAGTCAAACCAGTAAAAGTGTCAGTATATAATTCAATCGATCACTTTCATATTTAAAATTCTTTTGCTTGAAAACATGTAAGACTTTAAGCCAAATATGTTTTATATTTTAAATTTTATTTCACAAAAATTATTATTATTATTTCTTATATATATTTATTTTTTACAGTTATACTTATATTTAATAATAAAATATTATAATTTATTTTAAATATTAATATCAAAATTGAGTTGTAATATATAAACAAGAAAAGATATTCATGCTTCGCAGTTGTCATCTTTTATTAATTCCATTTATTTACTTAGCGATCGGTTCTATACTCTACATCCAAAATCTCTAACTATTTTGAAACGATATGGAGATATTTGATTCAACTATTAATTTTAGTTATACGTGTCTCAATCTTGTAATGAACATTTAACTTTAGATCTGGCAAATTATTGATTACAAACTTTTTAACCTAAAAAAAGTTTTTTTCTATTTATTCTCGAAAAACATTTTATTTCCGCATTAAACTAATGAATAATTTAATGACATAATTTAATATGAGTGTGTCGCATTCCACAATAATAATAAAAAAATTTTATAATAAAAAACTTGTATAACTATAATATTTAATTTGTAAAATTTATCTGCTGAAGTTGTTTTTTGCAATATATATGATTAATAATAACATCTAACACATCAATCTCAGTAACTTCTTTGTAATTTAACAAGTGATGTCACTTATAATTAGCACATCTAAGAAATAATACTTCTATTATTATTACGTATAAAAAATAATCATGCAAATATAATATTTATATATTGATAAAAAAAATATCATTACCTGGCAGTTATATTCAAAAATTGATCATGTATATCTTCAAGTAAATTATTGTTATCTGCATTTTTGAAAGAAGAGACAGAAAATAATGAACACTATCATTGGATCGTACATTCATAACGTTATTGTTATTATCGTCCAACATTAATGTTATAGATTGAAAGACAATATAATAATCGTCAGAGCACAGTAAGTGTTTTAAGAGTATTATCACGATCCGTGTCTCATACGTTGACCACACTATACTAAATCATACTATCCGCTGTCATCAAGCCTTTACAGTGTGTCCATTCCTTCCACCACAATAAAAGTCTGCAGCAATAAAAAAAAGAATAAAAGTCCAAAGGACGAATTCGTTAATTTAGTTTGCCGTTTTGAAAATTTAACAATTTATTGTACAATGCAAACAAAATTAAATTGAAAAAGAATTATAATTATAGCAAGAATTACTTATTCTATTTACAATCTTGAAGATGCAAATGAAATTTCTAAATTGCATATTTTTTGCGCAGAGGATCTCCAAGTATACATGCCCACTTTGTTGCTTCTTCTCTTAAACATCTGGCAAGATTGTCTTTATTAAACTTTTCATCGTATCCTATTTTATTAAGAAGTGCACCTAAGATTTTCACCATATGTGCAAAAAAATATTAAATGGTAAATTTTATACAAATTTATATGTCAAAGACATGTGTGCGCGTCAATATGTATATGTTTATACAAATTTTCATCGAATCAATTTTTTTCATGAAAGTCTAAAGAAAACTCTTGCAAAAATTTTTACCTTTTTGCTGAATTTTAATAGCTATAATATTCAATAGAAAACGCAGAAGGAACGATAATTTATAATTTTCGTATAATTGTTTTAAATTTCACAATTGATGTTTTTTCTACTATTTTGCTATTGTCCAAATAAAATTCGTTTATTTGTTAGCATTGAATAAAGAGTATATGTACGAAATATATGATGATTATATTTACATCGAACATTTGGAAGCAATGAACCTTTTCTTTGCAACAAAGATAATTTTGTAGATAAGCTTGAATATTTTTGTAATATACTTGTTTATTTTTGTAGACCAAAGATATCATGTTTTATGTTTGTGGGGTATAAAGAGTTTAATTAGGATTTGATGATTCTCTAGATGAATTTGATAAATAATGCAACGTGTTGCATGTTTATCAATGCATGCCTACCCATCGCCAGTTATCACATAAAATAGTATGTTCATTGTGATGAGTTGGTCGATGCTTACGTGTACTTCCAACGATAGTACCATTTGTGCTGTTTGCGTTCAGATTTTACAGATTCTCGTTTTGCAAGAACTTATAAATGCTAAACGATTTATTGATGGGACAAAAAGCGTAACTAGTCAAAAAGATCGTTTTTGAACAAACTTTTATAACTAGAAAACTAAAGTATAAAAACCACTGATGTAATTTAGTAAAGAAAAATGGCAGTTAAAGTGTTGTAATTGCTGTTCGAATAAAAAGATAATATATTTTAGAAAGGTTTTTTCTATTTCTCTGTATCTTTCATTCCTCTCCTTACGTTTATTTCTGTTCTTTTTTTCAACAGTGTTATAAATTCGAACATTTGTAACATTGTTATAGAATTGATAACGCTTCAAAAATTATACACAAGTACATGCGCGCTTTTAAGCAGCTATGTTGTATACGTGATAAATTTAAATAAGATAACATCATAAAATTGAAAATTTTCACATTAAAATCGAATTATAATACATAAGCGAATAAATATATACAATACATGCATTGCAGTTGTCAAGTTATATCGATTTGATTGATTAATTATTCACCTAAATATCTATAATTGGTTGTGTAATAACGTGTGCATAAATGTCCACCTTAGAGAATTGATTCTTGCGTTCTGCAATCTTAGATAAAATCATAGAGCGTAGATCTTCTCTTTCTTTTACATAATGCGCGACCTAAAATAAATAATTTTTGTGTTTACTGTCAAGAATCAATTCATTTTTATGTCAAAATAATTGACGTCATGTAATTGTGTGTGTGAGAGCGCGAATGCGTGCAGGCGTATCGCATTCAACAATAAAATGATAAAAATACTTAATAACAAAGGATTTACACAACACTATAATATTTAACTTGTAAGATTTACCTTGTCAAGTCCATCCGTGGTATATATATTATTAATAATAATACTTAATGCAGTAATCTCACTTATTGCTCTGCAAATTTAAAATTGATGCTGTTATAACTAGCACATCTAATAAATGACATTTTTTATTGTTATGTATAAAATATAATTATGCCAAGAATATTTATACATTAATATTTAAAAAACATAATTACTCAGGTCTATCATCTGTTAAAATGTCATTTAACATATCATCAATTATGGCTGTGTGATTCGCATACTTTGCAAGAAAAAACATAAAATGTATAACATGATCTTTGGGTTGTGCATTTTTTATTATACTCGTGTCTTTTAATGTTCTGAAAGAATTGAGAGCGATATAAAAATCATTAGAGCACGTTAAGTACTCTAACAATGCATCATCACGTTCTTCGTCCCATGCGTAAGCCACATTATGCCACGTCATACTATTCCCCATTACCATTCCTTCACAATACGTCCATTTCCTCCATCCTGGTGAAAGTCTACAGCATTCGGAAATAAATTAAAACGTCTACAGAACGAGTCCAAAGATTTAGTTTGCCGTTTTGAAAATCCAGTTTTATTTATTACACAAGACGCAAAAAAATCAGAATAGAAAAAAATTATAATTATAACAAGAATTACCTGTTCTCTTTTCGATTTTGGAGATGCCAATCTAATTTCTGGTTTGCATTTGTTTTGCAATCAACATCACCAAGTAAACATGCCCACTTTGCTGCTTCTTCTCTTAAACATTCGGTAAGTTTGTCTTCATTAGGTTTTGCATCGTATCCTATTTGATCAAAAAGTGATACTAAGAGGTTCAGCAAGTGCACCTAAAAATGATTATAAACAATGCAAATTTTATATCAGCTTGTGAAAGATATTGTATATATATATATATATATATATTCAATATTATTATTTCTCCTCAAAAGCTATATCATAAGTTACAACTTTGATTAGTATTAATTTTAATATCTATGTTATACATGCAACGAGATAAAATATTTTATGTTGTTAAAATCAATATGACCAAACCTGTTAATACTTCATACCTTAAGATTCCAGGTTCTATGACTATAAAATGCAAAAATAGGCGACATGTATTCCAAAGTTTTAAACATAGGATACCATGCTACGTAATCCGTATCTCGCGCAAGAAATTTTATTAGGTTCAAGAATACGGATAAATCGAGTTTCTTTTTTAGCAGGAAGTAAAACGCGTCATCGATTAATTGAGCGCGATTGAGAACATGAATACGTGAACCATTTGTCTCCAGAAACCATCCAATTCTTCGCCAATTTTCTACATCATAGAGAACGCGATAATATCCTATTTCAAAATATAAATTTTATTAATTTTTAAATTTTTATCTTATAATTAAAAAATATTTTGAATTAATAATTTTTTTCTGTTTTTAAAATATATCGTGTGTGTATAAAAAATTTAATATCTTATAAAAGACACACATGAAATAAATTATAAATTTTAGGGAATTTCTTTTTGTTTAAACCACATTGCTAAACAATACTGCACAACAAACTGCACAAGAAATTGTTGTCATAAATCTAATTTGTTTTAGATAAATAATAAACTACTTATCTTAGATTCAGTATTATTAAACAATTTATATTTTATTGAATAATATTATGTTTACATAACTGATAAGAGAAATTATATCGAAACTAAAAGAACTGCAGATAAAATAATTAATTAAATGTTAAATTATACAAAATAATAGAAATTGTGTATAACAACTTAATCTACATATTTACCACATCGTTTTGTATTGACAATGATCCAACTGTCCACGCTTTCTAGAGTCGTTAAAGTTATTATTTTGTCATCTGAATGTAACCACTTGCTAAGTGAAGGCGTAATACGATTGGAATAAGTTAATAAATGATCCGTAAACCAGGTAACAAGTATCCACCAATTGTGCCAATTACGCTTATGACTATTTTCTTGTGATACTTTCACAACTAGGTCTCGAGTATTGACTAATTGTGTTCGCACCCATAGTATTGGATAATTGTTCTCTGTCCAAGTATCCATCACCATTTTTATAGTTTTATTCTTAAACTTTGTGTCCAGATGCTTGTTGTCAGCATGTTGGATCCACTTCCAAAAGTCGTTAATTGTTGACTGTATATAATAACTAAAAGACCCCTCACTAATCATATAAAAAAAGTGGTTTTAGTCGAATTGACTGAAACTATGATATTTTGTAGCTTATGAGGTGCTGATCAAAAGTCTTCATCAAAAAGTGTAAAAAAATGGACAGTTTTTTTTCTAGCGTCATTAGAAAGTTGCTATTTTAGGTCTAACCGGACCTTTATCTACAGTACACAGATTGCTTTTTTAACTGTATAGGCATTTATATATAACCATAGTCAATTATTGAATAGATTCATGGCTCAGTGTATGTATGTGGTGCGGGAGGGAGGAAGAGGTGTAATATGGGTGTGTATTGGTATGAGTGTATGTGTATCGATAGTTATTCTATTAATGTGGCTGATATTATTACGTTTAAAAAAAATGTGTGTGTGTGTGTGTGTGTGTGTGTGTGTGTGTTAGAAACGATATGTTGAAACGGTTTATTGTTACGTTCTACGTACTCCACACTCTTTCTTCCCACGATATTGTTACACAAAGAAATTATCAAAAGAAGAAAAAGGGAAAAGCTAATAATATCGTTGAAAGAAAGAGTGTGCAGTGCGTAAAACGTAACATTATACTTTCACAATATCAATTACTTACGTTGCCGTTAGAAAGAGAGCTACACCGTCGTTAAATATATTATATTCCATAGTTGTCATATAATGCAGCATACGTATCAAAGCAGGTGCTAGAACAATTTACATAAATCATAAATTTGACTAAAATATGATAATTTATATTATTATATATTATTATTATATATTATTATTTGTAACATAAGCTGATACATATATATATATATATGTGATAATTCCGTGCAATTCAAATAAAATTACCGACTATAACTGGCTATAATAAGCTAAAAATGAAAAAAATATTAATTTTTAAACAGTCGATTATATAGTCGGTAATTTTATTTAAATTTGACATAAATTTAAAAGTGTGTGTTTGTATGTACGTATGTGTATGTATGCATATATATATATATATATATATATATATATATATATTAATTTACTCTACTGTCTTATTATTGATAATGTTAATGCATTTCTTTCTTAATACGTTTAAAGTACGTACAATGCGCACTTCAAATCTGTGCGTGGATTTAATTGCACTGAAAAAATTGCGCTAAAATGTATGGCGCACAGACAATGAAATTTATAAAATTATCCATAAGTTTACTAATGTAGATTTTGCAGCAAAAGTCAATTTTTAGTTTCAATTATAATTTTTATATTTTATGGCAACATTAGTATTCTCTTCCACGAGAGAATAACTTTGCTTTATGTAAACTTTTTTTTAAAACTGTCCACTAAAATATAAATAAATAATATCATGTGACAAAGAACAGTATGCGTAAATTATGGTCATTTTTTCTTACAATAAGATATGTATAAATACTATGCAACAGTATTCATTTCACTTTTTAACTTCGTGATGACATTTACATTTAACATTTTATGGACAATGTTTAATTCCAAAATTATCTTAGTTTTACCTTTGAGGTAACGGGCAAAGTAAAAAGATGTATCAATTTCAAAATTGCTGACATTCGAATAAAGAGGTTTCATAAAAGAATCAGTGTCCATATGAAGAGATTCATGTATATCTTGAACTACGAACAAATTTAACATTTGAAGTTCTGGAAAAGTCTAAAAAGTTTTAATAAACATTAATTAATAAAAAATTAATATTTCCTTAAACAAATACACTATCGCAGTTGCCAAGTGAGATCTGTTTAAAATATTTTTGTTGTTTTGAATTAAAATAATTGAATAAAATAAAAATAAAATAATGTATTATTATTGCAAAAATTAAAAAAGTGATATAAAAATTACTTATTCTTTTATAATATGGAATGGCTTATATTGATTCAAATTTAGACTCTGAAATTATAATACTACCTTATTAACGGCATCCATTCCAAAAAATATAGCTATGCCATCGTCCAACCACAGGTTTGACCAGTTAGAGAGGCTGATTGTACTACTTAACCATTGGCGCACCACTTTTTGTGCTACAAATTTTGCCACCGCTATTTTTCGCCCATAAGTATCTATTTTTTGATTATAGATAGCTTTTTCTTCCCTAAAAATTGTTTGTAGATTATTGCAATTTTATTATATTTGTTTTATAAATATCAAAATTAATAATATTTTTGGTAAGATAAAAATGTGTGACTAAAGTGTTCTATCTCTAATTATTAAAAACAATAAAAACAATAAAATAAAGAAAATTTTTGTGTCCAATATACCTAAGAAAAACAAGTCTCCAACCGTCCGCGCTGTCATATTGAAAACCAGGTATTAATGCATAATTTATAACTGGTTTCCATAAAGAATTTATTTTTGTCCATTCACTTTTTAAAAGAAATGTGACATTTTCAATAACCGTTTTTGCATAATATATATCTATTTCCGAGTTTCTACTATATATTTTATCTTCTAGTGTTGACTGTAATTCGTTAGTGTAGTTAAAATTATGTATTAAGATTGCCACTTGATAAGCAAATATTTTAGTTGTGATTGTAAAACGTTTAATTTGCAGGCCATCTGGATAATTAAAGTAGGCATATTCCGTTCTATTATTTGTCAAAATGTGATACTTATTATGAACTTTTACAGAGATATTGAAGGTTGTTCTAGATCCTGCCAGTTCGAAACAGGGAAACATTCGATGGGCCCCATTTGGCTGAGAATTTGTTGCGACCAACCATCTATAATATTTTAATAAAATACTTTTGATAATGATATATTTACTGTCATTGTTCTAAAATAAGATTATAGACATTGCAGAAGAAAAAAAGGAAAAAAAAGAAAAAGAAAATGAGAATGAGATAGAAAAACAGGCAAATTATAAACAAAATTATTTTTAGAAACAAAATGACAAAAAAATGAAAATTGTTTACAATTATCATGCTTTTCTATTATTATCACTTTCTTTCTATCTTATAAATGATAGTACTTTTGTTGTATATATATTCTACATGTCACATAAAATAATGTTTATTATATTTGCCGTAAAATATGTAACTTTAATTAGACAGAATTGTTAGTATTTTTTATTTTTACAAAAAACACTTATTTAATTATAACATATCCGTTCAATTTAAATTGCTTTTATAATATTGCATATGTAGGCTTTTGCCATCTAGAATCATCGATTTGTTATTTTATTTTATACGCGTTATACTCGAGGCCCTGTGTATCTTGTTCGTTTCGATACGCGTGTCAGTTGGGACCACGCGCACTTTATTCCACACATCGAATAGTATTTATGTGTAAAATTTCAGGTCGATCGGGAGTAGGAGACATTCGGAAGTACACCCCTTAGCCGCCTACACATAATTGTATGTGTCTAATGTTTTTATTTTTACTTACTGTGTTTTGTTGTCTTTTATGTAGAAACTATGCATCTTGTAGGGGATACGGAAGAATCCTTTTTCATTATTATTTGCACGATTTTCATATTCCAATGTCATGTTGTACATTCCTAGGTCAAGTTTTCTTCTAAAAACCCACTCTTGATACGAAGATAATTCATTTGTATAACGTTTTGTCGTCCAATCAAAAGTATCCTCAGGTTTGCCTTTCATTACTAAGTTACTAGCAAGTATATCTATGAATGGTGCTACGTTTATTTTGAAGCTTATGATTGGTTTGGTGACTTGAAAGATAATAGAGACGTTGCCAGAAACATTAAAGTAATCTTCTGATATATTCTCAATGTCTGGGAATGTCAGTTCGATGTCGTAGTGTGTTGGAAAGAGATCAGGCACATTTGTGTCATTAAACTGGAAGTCTTTCGGCAATAAATCTTGACTGTTAGAGAAAACTGTTTTGATGATCAATATTAGAGTACATTTTAATAACGTTTGTAGATTTGCCATTTTGTTCTAAGTATCTATAAGAACATAAATCGCATTTGTTAAAAGCTTAAAGTTCTCTTGCGAAATATTGATACAGAATTTGTTAAAATTGTCAATTTAATTTTATTAAAATAAATAAAGTTAACACTATCTCTATTTCTGCCACGCATTTTACATTGAAATAGTATAATAAAGTAACTTAAAATGATATTTTTTTCTAACAATTAATTGTTGTTAACACATTATCATAGAGAATTGTTTAAATGAAAAATATAGCTTTGTAATTGTAACTATCTCTTTCAAAAGATAACCAGAACCTGAGGAGTATGTTATTGTTAGTGAATGTGTTGTATCATGTAGGCAGTTTGTCTACATACAGTTTGTCGTACATAAGATCGTCTACATAACAAACTTTACCAGCTATATCCTAATCAAAAGATGTTATAAAAAGCAGAAAACTTTTTTTTCTTAGTTTGAGTCGGTTACTTAATGTATCGGTTAACTTAATTTTTGAGATTAGCCGTAAATATTTATTATAAAAATTGTATAGAATAAAATGTAGATAGACAGTATTAAACGTTTTACATTTAATATGCAATGCAAATTAAATAGTACAAACTTAAATGCGAAAGAATTTGCAATTTTTAACGTCTGAACATAATATTACTTTTGCATTATGTCTTTTTATTATTTCGATTAAATTATATGATTTTTATTATTTTTATTAAAATGTTTTAAAATAGTAAATTATAAATATTTATAAGTATATAAAATTTACGATAAATTAATATTAAAGTATAGTAAAAACAGAAAGTCTTAATTGTACACTTTAAACCGCGTTCGATCATTCGATTTCTAATATTTGTGTATTGCTTGTTTATATCAATCCAATAAATTTTACATTATAAAAAATTTTTTATTTTATCCGTATTTGCGAAAATAAAACCGTGTGTTCGAAACTACTTACATTATGTTACATACATACATTGATTATATGTTCAGAAGGCGTTACACAAATTTTCTATTTTTACTTCACATGTACAGTGAAATTATTTGATAATTAAAGCACAGTACTTTGTAACAAATGGAATAAAGATCTTATCTTCTCGAGAGATCCCGAAGAACTGAACGACATCATATTCGACGTTACAATAAGTAGTGTCGTGTAAACAACTTCTAAGGTCGTTAACGTTTATAATGCTGGTCGACAAGTCAAATCAGTGAAAGTGTCAGTTAAATTGTTCGATTAATCATCATTTTCATATTTAAAAATCGTTTGCTTGAAAACATACAAGTTATTAATACAATATGTTTTACATTTTACATTTTATTTGATAAGAAATTATCGTTATTATTTTTTATGTTTATTTATTTTTGCAGTGATTCAATGTTTCCTACCGGGCTGCCGGCTTCTGAGCCCGACACAAACGTGAAGCGCGTACATGTGCTATGCAAAGCGTTCTGCGCAGCACATGTACGCGCTTCTCGCTTGTGTGGGGCTCGGGAACCGGGAACCCGGTAGGAAACATCGCATCACTGAGTTACCGAAGCATTCTTGTTAACAGAAGTGACATCAGATGCTGCTGTTTCTTATCGAGGTGCAGCGAAACTGAGTACAGCAGTTTGCTGTCATTTTTGTACTAAGTCTTGAGCAAGAGCAACAGTACAGAGATTTTTTATTAGATGAAACTAGCGAAACATACAAATACAATAACCATAAGTAACATCTAGCTAAAATTAAGACAATGATATTTTAAGTTAATCAATGTGAGAATCAATGTACTGATTTATATGCAAGTGTTTGTATTGAAGCAACGCGCAGGGCTAGGCTTATTTGTTGACCAGCGATAAAAGCGTCGAGAAGGACGAATTTGTATTTCTACACTTTCATCGACTATAGAAAACATGGAGTTGGTCTAGCAATGACAATTGCGTCATGTTTTTTTAAATTTTGTTAGACAAAATGTAATTGAAAGTTTTCATCGTCATTTTCGCATATATTCAAAAAATTGTTGTAGATATTTTTCAAGTATTTTATTCTATAAATGATGAAATTCTCCAAATTTATATCGTTTGATATAGGATGCGCAGAATATTGACGTTTCTTACGCAGACATTTTCAATATACAATTTTACAGTATTTAAAGATAATAGTAATTCTTCCAAATCACTCATGGAAACGAATGACCTCAATTAACGGCTAGAACTATACTATTATCACAGCTCTAGTATAAACATATCAACGAAGGATAGATTTGATTAGCTTTTATCATCGCTCTTATCGCCACTTTTACAGTTTTTATTGCAGCTCTAATATAAACATACCCTAACGCTACCGTGTATCTCAACGCATAGCGCCTGTAATTTTAATTTTCGATAAACAATCGCGAATCAGGCCGGCGTAAAGCAGTTGTTCTGTACATCTTGATTAGATAAGAGAAAACACCAGTAAACTAATTTTTATAAAAACGTGCAGAGATTGTCTGCCGTCAATCTATCTCATTTTTCTACACACATGTCAGATCAACATTTAAATATATGAGCATCTCAAAGGTATATTATGTTCAATCACATTTTTTCGAAAATTATCATGTTATTATTATCAGAAAACTTTATACTCCAATTTTTACAAAATAGAAAATGTTTTCAATGAATATTTTCATTTCAATAGAGATTTTGACTGTATAAAGTTAAGTCACATTCACCAGGTAAAGTGTTAAGTCACATTAAAATCATATTCCGTAATCACATAACTTTATTTTCTGAAACATATCGAAGTTTGATATTATATCTGTGAATACAAAAAAATCTACAAAACATTATTTAAAGTATTTTACTGAGAAAATATCAAGAGCAAAAAATCTCTTTAAATTCTTCTCCTAAAAAATTATGTAATTATTTTAATTATTTGACTTAACATAGTATATCTCTGAGGTGCTCATATAATTTGTTTGATTTTATTGTTATAATTTTTAGTCTTTTTATTTCAGTATAATACCATGTCTTGATTACAATTTACTTTTTCACTTTTCCGGTTTATTCAAATTTGATCTTTGGAGAAAAAATTTTATAATAGCAAATATTTTATTGACTAATAACTGCACAAATTTATTACAAGTTTTAACATTAAAATCTAATTGTACTACATAAGGAAATAAATATATACGTGTACTGCAGTTGTCATGTTTTATCGATTTGATTGATTAATCATTCATACCATTCACTGGTTTTGTAATAATGTGTGCATATTTATCCACTTTTGAGAAATAACTTTTGCGCGTTGCAATTTTAATTAAAATCATAGACAGCAGAGCTTCTTCTGTTTTTTTATCCGTCGCATATTTCTCGACCTAAAATAAATAATTTTTGTTTACTGTCAAGAATTAATTCATTTTTATGTCAAAATAATTGACGTCACATAATTGTGTGTGTGAGAGCGCGAACGCGTGCATGTGTGTCGCCTTCAACGATAAAATAAAAATACTTCATAAAAAAGAACTTACGCAACACTATAATATTTAACTTGTAAAATTTACCTTGTCAAGTCCATCCGTGGTATATATATTATTAATAATAGTAATTAATCCAGCAATCTCAGTTACTGCACTGCAAAATCAAAATTGATGCAATTTATAATTAGCACGTCTAACAAATGTCATTTTTTGTTATTGTTATGTATAAAAAATAATTATGAAAACAATATTTAAACATTAATTTAAAAAACATAATTACCTAGGTCTTTTCTCTAAAATTTCCTCGAATATATCATCGATTATGATTGTGTGATTCGAATACTTAGCAAGAAAATACATATAATGCATGACGTTATCCTTGAGTTGTGAATGTTTAATTATACTCTCGTCGTTCAATGTTCTGAAAGACTGGGTGGCGATATAATAATCTTCAGAGCACATTAAGTACTCTAACAATGCATCATCTCGTTCTTCGTCCCATGCGCGGGCCGCATTATGCCAAATCAAACTGTCCCCCGTTATCACGCCTGTACAGAACGTCCATTTTTTCCATCCTGGTGTAAGTCTACAGCATTCAGAATAAGATTAAAACGTCTGCAGGACAAGTCCGCAAATTTAGTTTGCCGTTTTGAAAATCCAATTATTTATTGCGCAAGACACCAAAAAATCAGATTAGAAAAGAATTATAATTATAACAAGAATTACTTGTTCTCCTCTCGATTTTGGAGATGCCAATCTAATTTAGCACTTGCTTTTGCTATGCAATCAGTACCACCAAGTAAACATGCCCACTTTGCTGCTTCTTCTCTTAAACATTCGGTAAGTTCATCCTCATTCGGTTGTGCTTCGTATCCTATTTTATCAAGAACTGATTCTAAGAGGTTCAGCAAGTGCATCTAAAAATTATTAAATAAGGCAAAATTTTTATCAGCTTGTGAAAGATATATATATATATATATATATATGAATTCAATATTATTATTTCTCCTCAGCAGCTATATCGTAAGTTACAACTTTAGTAGATAGATCAGTATAAGTTTTAATATCTATATTACTCATGCAACGAGACATAAGTAATACTTTATGTTGCCGAAATCAATATGACCAAATCTGTTAATACTTCATACCTTAAATTCCCAGGTTCTGTTACTATTAAATGCAAAAGTAGGCGACATGTGTTCTAAAGCTTTAAACATAGGATACCATGCTATATAATCCGTATCTCGTGCAAGAAATTTTGTTAGATCGAAGAACCTGGATGCAGCGAGTTTAGTTGTTAGCAGGAAGTAAAACGCGTCATCGATTAATTGAGCTCGATTGAGAACATGAATACCCTTAGGATTTGATTCCAGAAACCATCCAATTCTTCGCAAATTTTGGATATCATAAAAAACGCGATAATATCCTGTTCCAAAATATAAATTTTATTGATTTTTAAATTTTCGACTTATAATATAAAAATTTTTAATTAATAACTTTTTTTTGTTTTTAAAATATATTGTGGGTGTATAAGAAATTAAATATTTTATAAAAGAAATACATAAAGTAGATTATAAATTTTAAAATGATTTTTTGTTAATACAACATTTCTAAAAAATAAATTGCACAAAAAATTGTTTTCGTAAATCTAATTTGTTTTATATAAATGATAAACAATATCGATAAACTAAGATTTATTTTAGTAGTATAAAATAATTTATATTTTATCGAATAATATTATGTTTACATAACGGATAAATGAAATTATAGCATTCGAAAGTATGAATTACGGATAAAAAAATTAAATGACGGGAAAGTTAAATTATACAAAATAATCAAAAACGTATATAACAACTTAATCTATATATTTACCAGTTCGTTTTGTATTGATGATGATCCAACCATTCGTGCTATCTAGTGTAGTTACAGTTTTTATTTCGTCTTCTGGGCGTAACCACTTGCTGAGTGAAGGTGAAATACGATCGGAATAACTTAACAAATTATCCGTAAACCAGGTAATGAGTATCCACCATTTGTGCCAATTTTGCTTATGACTATTTTCTTGTGTTACTTTTACAAGTATGTCTTTACCGTCTTCTAAAAATGTTTTCACGTTTATTATTGGATAATTGTTCTCTAGCCAAGTATCCATTACTACTTTCAGAGTTTTATTCTTAAACTTTGAAGAAGTATCGAAGCGTTCGTCACTAGCGCTTTGAATGGTGTTCCAAAAGTCAGCAAGTGTTGGCGGTTCATAAAAACTAAATTTGTAAAGCATTAATAATAATAATAAATAATAATAACAAATTTGATTATATCAAGAAAAAAATAATAATGGCAAAAAAGACAAATAGTTCTTCAAAAAGTTTGACGTTGATATAAGAAAGATTTATAAGAAAGTTAGGAATAATTTATTCGTAGAAAAAAATATAATACAACAAAATAATTGGGAAATAATAAAAAGAATAATAAAATAGAAACTATGCCAGAAACATTTTGTGAATTAAATATGTATGATTTGTTTATATACATTTGAAATGGTATATAATTTTATATTTTTTATATAATATCATTACTTACGTTTTGTTAAAATAGTTACTTACACCCGTTTCAAATATATCATACAGCATGCTCGTCATATAATACGCCATACGTATCAAAGCAGGTGCTAGAACATTTTATATCATAAATTTGATTAATATATAACAATTTGTATTATTACATCATGATGTATATCATAAATTGATGTATATCATAAATTGACATATATGATAATTCTGTGCATAACAAGAGTTTATGTGCTTAATTTTTGAAGTTTTAGTATTTTATTTGACATGTCAGCTTTGTTTTGTATTGTCACAAAAATTGTATTAAATTCAAATAAAATTACCGACTATAATTGATTGTTTAAAAATTAGTTTTTTCTTTTAATTTTTCGTTTATTGTTAAATTATATATATGCATAAACAATACTACTATATTATTATCAATCAAGTTAATACATTTGTTCTTTCTTAATACGTATAAAGTATGTACAATGCACATTACAAATCTGCGCGTGGAAATAACTCTGAAAAAATTGCACAAAAATCCATGGAGCGCAGAAGATAAAATTTATAAAATTATCTCTAAGTTTACGAATGTTGTAGATTTTGCAGCAAAAGTGTCAATTTTTATTTATGGTTTTTATACTTTATAGCAACGTTAGTATATTATATTTCACGAAAGAATGACTTTGCTTTTTGTTAATTTGTTCGGATTTTTTTTTAAACTGTCCATAATGCATCATAAAATATAAATAAAAAATAATATTATGTGAGAAAGAACAGTACGCGCAAATTATTATACACAAAAAAAATTTTGTTTCTTACGATAGAAAGATTAAAAATTTATAGACAATTTGTTTAATTGCAATGATTTATCTCAATTTTACCTTTAAGATAACGAGCAAAGCCGAGAGTTGTGTCAATTTCAATACTGCTGACTTTTGCATAAAGAGGTTTCATATAAGAATTAACATCCACATAGAGAGCATCATGCATATCTTGAACTACGAATAAATTACACAGTTGCAATTCTGGAAAAGTCTAAAGAAAAGTTTTAATAAACATTGATTAATAAAAAATTAATATTTCCTTAAACAAACGCACTGTCGCTGTCGCTAAGTGAGAATTGCTTAAAATATTTTTGTTGTTTTGAATAAAATAAAATAATTATATTAAATAAAAATAAAATAATGTGCAATATAATTATAGGAATTGAAAGTAATATAAAAATTGTTTATTCTCTTATGGTATGGATTGACTTCTATTGGTTCACATTTAAACTCTAAAAATGTAAAACAACCTTATTAGCGGCATCTATTCCGAAAAATATAGCCAGACTATCGTCAAACCACAGGGTCGACCAGTTAGAGAAGCTGATTATACCACCTAACCATTGGCGCACTACTTTTTGTGCTACAAACTTTGCCACATCTATTTTACGTCCATAGGTATCTATTTCATGATTGTACATGACTTTAGCTTCCCTAAAAATTGTAGGTTATTGCAATTTTGTTATATTTGTTTTATAAATATCAAAATTAATAATATTTTCGTAGACTAATGGTAAGATAAAAATATGTGACTAAAGTGTTTTAATTTTAATTACTGATGAAAACAATAAGGTATAAAAATCATTGTGTTCAATTTACCTAAGAAAAACAAGTCTCCAAGCATCCGCGCTATCAAAGTAAAAACCAGGTATTAATGCATAATTTATGATTGGATTCCATTTCTTTTTTATATCGTCCCATTTCCTTTGTAAATGAAATGTAACATTTCCAATAACATCTTTTGCATGATATACATGCATTTCAGAGTTTCTACTGTATATTTTGTCTTGTAGTGTATACTTTATTTCGTTAATATAGTTAAAATTATATATTAAGATTGCCACTTGATAAACAGGTATTCTAGGTGTGGTTGCAAAATGTTTTATTTGCATACCATCTGGATAAACAAAGTGGTCATGTTGCGTTCCCATATTTGATAAAATTTGGTACCTATTATGAACTTTTACAGAGATATTGAAGGTAGCTCTAGCTTCTGGCTGTTCAAAACAGGGAAACATTTGATGGACCCCATTTGGTTGGGAATTTGTCGCGATCAACCATCTATAATATTTTAATAAAATACTTTCGATAATGATAAATTTTCTACCATTGTTTCAAAAATAAGATTAGAAAAATTGCAGAAGCGAAAAAAAAAAAAAGAAAAAGGGAAAGAGAATGAAAAAGATATGCAGGCAAATTATAAACCAAATTATTTTTTAAAAACAAAATGGCAAAAAAAATTATTTACAATTATCATGCTTTTCTATTATTATCATTGTTATTTTATCTGCATTGTAGCACTTTTGTTTTATATATATTCTACATGTCACATATAAAATAATGTTTATTATATTTGCCGTAAAATATACAACTTTAAATGAACAGCATTGTTAGCATTTATTATTATTAGAAAAAAGACTGTTATTTAATTATAACATATTTGTTTAATTTAAATTGTTTTTAATAATATTGCATAATTGTGTCTTGTGTATAATATTTTTATTTTTACTCACTGTAAAGTGTGACCATGTCGGAATTTACGCATCTTGTAAGAGACACGGAAGAATCCTTTTTCATTATCATGTGCAGCATCAGTAAATTCCAATGTCATGATGTAAATTTCTGGTTGAAGTACCTCTGTGAAAACAAACTCTTGATACGAAGATAATTCATTTGTATAGAGTTTTGTCGTCCAATTAAAGTCATCTTTTATTCCTGATTTCATAACCATGCTGCTAGTGTGTACATTTATTGATTGTGCTATATTTATTTCGAAGCTTATGATCGGTTTGATGATTTTAAAAGTGATAGAGACGTTGCCAGAGACATTAAAGTAATTATTTGATGTATTGTCAATCTCTTGGAGTGTCAGTTCGACGTCGTAGTGTATTGGAAAGGGATTAAGTACATTTTTATCATTGAAATTGAATTCTTCCGGCAAATAATATTGACTGTTAGAGAAAGCTGTTGCGATAATCAATATTAGTGCGCATTTTAATATCACTTGTAGATTTGCCATTTTGTTTTACGTATCTATAAGAACATAAATCGCATTTGTTAAAAGTTTAAAGTTTTCTTGTGAAATATTGATACAGAATTCGTTAAAATTTTCAATTTAATTTTATTAAAATAAATGATGTTAACACTGTCTCTATTTCTGGTGCCACGCTTTTTACATTGAAATAGTATAATAAAGTAACTTAAAATGATATTTTTTTTCTAATAATTAGTTCTTGTTAACATATTATCATAGGGAATTGTTTAAATGAAAAATATAGCTTTG